TCTATATATATATATATATATATATATATATATATATAGATAGATAGATAGATAGATAGATAGATATAAACACACATATATGAGTATAATTAAATAATATTTATCTATCCGTCCGTCGGATGGATAGATAAATATTCTATATTATTATTATTTAATTATTATTAGTTAATTGTACTGAAGGGCTGCACAGTGGCGCAGTTGGTAGAGCTGTTGCCGTGCAGCAAGAAGGTTCTGGGTTCAATTCCCAGCCCTGGTCTTTCTGCATGGAGTTTGCATGTTCTCCCTGTGCATGCGTGGGTTTTCTCCGGGTACTCCGGTTTCCTCCCACAGTCCAAAGACATGTCAGGTTAATTGGCCGCTCCAAATTGCCCCTAACAACCATGTGTTTGCATGGTTGTTTGTCCCCCCCCCCATAAAAAACAGATTAAAAGATTCTTGGGACCAACAATAACATTTTCACTAAGTAGAAATTTTGTAATAGTTATTTTTAAAATATGAAAATAAATAAAATATAAAAAACAAAGCTACTCCCTTTTTATTGTTTAAAGCAAATTATGAATCACAAACTAAAAGCTAATTTTGCAATATAAATCCCATTTTTCCACCAAAACACCTGGAACGTAAAGTGCTCTGGAAACAGAAGACTTTAAGAGGCACTATTTTCTGTGGCGGATTAAGACGTTTGCGTTCATTGCGTCTCTGCAGTGTCCCACTGACAGTGGGAAGCATATAAATTATTAAAAACTTGTTGATTATTATTGTTTAAAGCATAAACAGGTGGAAAAATGTGGAATCTATGTTTAGCTTTATCTAAATGAGACGTAAGCCGCAGCGCCGAGGTCAATTCGCTTTGATCCGCCTGAAAATGAGCACAGAAACTGTATCTAATTAGCATAATAATGAGCAGCAGACGCTTTATCCACTGCAGCTCTGGAATAATGTGGATGTGAGAGCAGGAAGATGCTGCATGGGAGGAAAAATGAAGCGCTGAAGGGTTCAGTACTCTGTAATTTGGCTACTTTTTATTCGAGCAGGGTCATCTTCAAGAGAAAATTACAAATTAAGAATCCATAATACTTTTACAAAGACATTTCAGGAAAGATTTCTTCTTCAGTCATCATATCATACATAGTATTTAACAGTCCCTCTTCATTGTTTTTTCAGCTTAAAAAAAGAAAACAAAGATGAAGAAAGTGGAATTTTTTTTCAGTCGAAAATACAGTGTTTTCACAATTGTATAAAAGTTCCCAAATTTTGGATTTTTTCTTCCAGTAACTGGAAAGTAAAAGAAAAAAAAATAAAATAAGATTAAAACTTCACAATGTTTCAAAACACAATAAATGCTCTTTTTTTTTTTACGTAAAATTTGCCCCTATGATCGACAACATGTTCCTTTTTACTAAAATATATCTATATATTGAAGAACTATAGTACTGTACACAACAGTATGAAATAAATAAAATTAGGAAATATAAAATGGGCCACATAAATAATCAAAATAAGAGAAAAAAAAATAACGGTTTGGTTGTAATACTGAGAGAGTTTAAAAAGAAAAGAGCTGAGAAAACATTGCACAACATAATGTAAACTAAAGGAAAACGGCTGCCTATATGTCTGTAATACTGACACGATGCTTCGGAGAACAACGGTGAACCATCTCATCATAATACTGAAGCTGGTGAAGAAGGACAAAACAAAACATAAGAAACCGAACCGTCCTTTTACACAATACGAGGGTGGCACTTGCAGAAAAACACACAGGTTAAAAGGTTTGCATATAAGGCTTCTTTTTTCTTATCAAAAAACACCTTACAAAGGCTTCGTCCTTCATCGTTTTCTTCTTTTTATCCCGTCCATAAACTGTAATTTTCCCTTAAAACGAAAGTCTCTTTAAAACTTCTTTAAAAAACAAAAACAAAACACAGTTTAAATTCCTTCATTTGATTCGATTCAAGAGGCCTAAAACAGTGCGGCTGGAGATGTTTGGAGAAATAAAGACGACACCGAAAAACGCAGGTAGGTGGTAATACTGAAGGACTGCAGTGCAGGTAATACTGCTCTTTTCCAACACTGTATAAATATATACATAGGCAATACTTTTTATTATTTTTGTTCATGATTATAGAAGCGGAGTGCAATTTGTACAAGTCACTAGTTGTGCTATAAATACTATGGAACACAGGAGGTTAGCACCACACGTTGTTTTAGGCCTTAGTACTGTACATTTTTATTCATTTATTCGTTGTTCGGTTTGCATAATGCAGCTTATTTCACAAACCCGCCACTGATTTCTGAGTCCATCGCGTCCCGCTTCGGCAGACGTCGTCCCAAAGAGAGCTTCCCGGAAGCTTCAGGCACGTGCAGCTTAAAACGCGGCGGCGGCGTTTTAAACCGAGCAGGTGAGAATGCCGAACCGAAAGAGACAAACTGAAAACTGTAAGATGGGAAGCTCCCTGAAAACCGTCCGTTACATGCCGTCCTCCATGGCATCCTCGTGATCCGATTTGGTTTCCGTTTTGCCGTCCAGCGAGCTGTCGTCCATCGAGTGCTCCCCGTTCTCCTCCTCGTCCCTCAACGTGTCCGGGTCCGTGTCCATGCTCTTGCTCTCTTCCTCTTCCTCCTCCTCGAACTCGTCCCTCCGTCCTATCTTCGCGTACGTTCCGTCCACCTCCTTCCGCCCCTCTGCCCTGATCCCTCCGTTCACGCCGTCGTGCCTCAGGATGGCCTCGCGCTCCGCCAGCTCCGCCGGGTAGCCTTGAGGAGTCATGCCCTGCAAGTACGCCCTGCTCATCAGCAGCTCGGTGGGCTCCAGGTGGCCCTTCTCCCGGGCCTCCCGCTCCGCCGCCTCCCGCTCCTCGGCCTCCCGCTTGCAGTAGGAGTAGCGGTGGTTCATGTGCTGCGAGTAGGAGCCCGAGTGGGAGAAGCGCTTGCCGCATTTGTCGCACTGGTACGGCTTCTCTCCGGAGTGCAGCCGCGAGTGCTCGATGAGATGGTGTTTGTGTTTGAAGGCTTTCTTGCAGATCTGGCACTGGTGCGGCCGCTTGCCTGCAGAGACACAGAAACAGAGAGCGGGACGGGACGTGAGTGAGGCGCCGGAGTCACAAAAACACAACTCAAATCACAACAAAGCAAAAAAACAAACAAAAAAAAAACAAAACAAATTTATTTAAGCTAACAAACTGCAGCATCCTGGGTGCACAAAGAAGCATTACAGGGGATCCTTCCTAATAGTAAATGTCTTTTTCATTCTCTTAGCTCATCAATAACAGATGCTTCATTTAGCTTGAACTGCTTTCCATCAACATAAAACATAAAAACATCAGAAAGTCAACAACTGTGAAAACCTGTAACAAATATTTTTACATTTTGTAAAGTGACATTGTTAAAATCAGCAATGTTCCACTTATTATTAAACAAAGGCAAATATAAACAGGCTTGGTTTAGAGGAACTCAGTGTTTCAGCTGTTTTGCACTTTTATGGAAGAATATATGAATAGGTTCCATATATTCTATATAAAATCACTGTGCATGGTCATAAAGTTACAGTATAAATAATATTAAACACCAAGATTACAGTTATTTTTTGTGTTACTAACAGCTGTTTTCTGATATTACAAGAAAAGTCCTTTTAGTTTTAATTTTTTAAATTAAAAGTCCAGAAAAAAAAATATTACTTTATCTTGTATGCAATATTTTTGTTAATTTCTATAGTTTTTCTATATATGTTTTTAACACTTTCTGATTTTGTTTTCTGGACCTACATACATAGCTGATGCTGTTTTGCATGAATTTTCCCACAATATAGGATATTTCTATTCTATTCTGTTTTTATATAGTGCTATTCATGTTATATAGACAAATCCAATAAAAGTGTCCCAAGAACACGGCCTTGAGGAACACCACATGTACACAAGAGATGTTCCCTGATTACAACATCAAGATAAATTGAACAGAAGAGTCCCGAGATCACAGCCTTGAGGAACACCACATGTAATTAAACCCTTTGCTTCCACTAGCTGCTGCATTTCTAGCTGCCGGTTGAACAGGAACCTAAAAAGTAGCAGCATTCAGAGCCAAAATGGCTCCTTCCTGCCTTTTCATGAGCCGATAATTAGACGGCTCCATAAAGCTTTGAGGTCTCTGTGTAAGGACTTCTCATCAGGAAGCTCCTGTAGTTTGGCTGATGTGATTTAATACCAAAAAATAATTATATATCTAGGTAAATTAATGTCTTTTAAGATCACAACATGATATGATTTGAAAATAAAAGAGCATAGCTCCCTCTTCTTTGGCTACCTGCATTAACTTAATTGCAAAAAAGGAACACACAAAGTTTTAAAGGCATCACATCCCTGTCAATGAAGAAGCAAGTTAGGTGTAGGGTTACAAATACAACTTAAGGATTGAACAGAGAAGGAAAAAAGGGAGGAAAAAGGGAAATAAAACAAAATATATAAATATATACTTGTAGGAATTGGCAACACAAACATTTAAAACATAAAATAAAAAAGCATGGGGTTTAAAATAAGGGTCTAGAACAGTATATACCTGTGTGTTCATATTTGTGTCTTAGAAGGGAACTGCTCTTCTGGAATGTTTTGTCGCACAAGTCACACGCGTACATACCACTTTCGGTCTTCTTAATCTTCTTCCGCGACAGACAGGAGTCGGGGTCTGTCATGTCGTCCAGCCCTGACAAGTAATCTGGTGTACCGTCAAGCAGGTCCCCCTTAGAGACAAGAACAGAGAGACAAGAGGCGAGAAATAATAAGCAACGCGGCACCGCACAAACCCGCACAGGCTTAAAGACGGTTCAAACAAAAAGTGAGAAAACTGGAGCTGTCTGCTTTTCGTTTATTTCAGGAGCTGTAGCTACAAAAATTGATCCATTTACATGCTAAATGTTTGTTTTGTCAAAATGTACTCAATTGTAATGTGTAGCTGGAATGTAAATGTGCTAAGATTTAAATTATACAATGTAGCTAAACCAAACAACAAAACATACGTACTAATGAGCTAAGTGCTAAATGTGACAAAACACCAGTCAAAAATCACTCCAACAATCTTAACTAAGCAAGTAATTGCATTAAAAATAAATGTGATGCTGATGTTTAACTGAAAAAAGCTAACTGCTAATCATGCTAATATGATCAGGATTTATATATTAGACATTTTATTTTTGTGCTTCTAAATTATGAATATGAAAATGTTGAATGTAATCAAATTTTCCAATTATTTTATAGACTATAGCTTTCAGAGAGTAAAAGAAATATTTTACTAATATGCTAACTGTTAGCTTTGCTAATCTGATAAAGCATCTTTAAAAAAAAGCTTTTAAAAGTTCAAGGTTAAAGAAAAATCAACATTTTTATGATGCTGAAAGTTAAAGATAAGTTACATGTAGGTGGTTTTCCCATAGTTTTAGAACTCAACAAAGCTCGAACAAATGCTAATGCTAATTTGCTAAATTCACAAATGTTCAACAACATAAAGCTGGGAATGCCAAAGCAAATTTTAGAAGTGAACATGTTATGATACCATGAACTGGTACATTTTAAATGCAACAATGTTGAATTTAGCTAATTATCCATCTAGTTTAGTTACTGTGAATTTCTTGTGCTAAGTAAATAGCAATATTTGCTAATTGATACTAACTGCTAAAGCTACTAATTTGATCAATGGTAAAAAAAAACAACAACAAAATATCTTTTTAAATAATGCAAAGTCTTAAAAGATATCTTGGAAAAGAGCTGAAAAAAATATAATTTTTAAACATAATGCTGTTGCTAATTTAAATAAACACCAAAACGTCATGATTATAATTGTTTTTAAATAAACAGTTGAAATAATTATTTTATCAGGAAGTTTTAGTTAGCTGTTTTATGCTAATCTGACAACCTATAAAAATAATAAAACATTTATATTAAAGACTAGAAATGCTTATGGTGCCAGAACATTTTTCGGAATAAATATATTTTATTTCAAATTTGAGAAGTTAAACTGTTAAATATATTCTTGCAACTAATTTTCTAAAATGGAAGCTAATATAGTACAATGTACAGATGAATGCCTCATGTTTACAAAGACAAATTGTTTAACTGGACTTTTGCAAAGACATGATTTAAAATGAATATAATGAATGTTAAATGGAATAAAAATGTGAGTTTTTATTACATTTTAGGAGCAGAAGATTTGACCAGTTTAACATAAAGACATATTTGACAAAGTTCTGGCTGCTTAACTTGTATTATTAACAAAAACAAAAAAAAAGAAAATATATATTAAGTTTTAATGTACAATGTAGTTCTATTTCAAAAGCAGAAACTATGGATTTTAGGAACTATAATTTATTTAAGTTAAAGTTATCTGTGACAATGCTCGACTCCCAAAATAAGTTAAAACAACCAAAACTGTAAAGTTTTTTATTTTTAGAAAGTATTATTATAGCTAACATATTATACTACCTATATATAAATAATGCAATATACTACTGAATATTATTTATATAATTACATAATATCTTGTTTGAGAAGTTAAACAGAAACACATCTTTGCTAACATGCTAACTGCTAACTATCAATTGCTAATTTATGAATCCACTAAAAATTATCCACCAGCATACATATATATACAGATAATGTCATAAAATGTGCTGCTAAATACTAAAATGAAATAAATACATAACAAAAAAGGGGCAGCCTGTTGATTGGAATAAAAAGACATGCTAACATGCTAATATGCTAACTGCTAAACATGTACTTTCTTACAATTCTGAAAATGAAATAAATACCTACTTTAGGAGCTCAATTATTTTATTGCAAATTGATTCAAATTTTAAATTAAAGGTAAGGGGGGTTTTTTTTTTTTTTTTTTTTGTCTTTTTCAGCAGCTTTAAATTTGTCGATTTGACACTTGAGCTAAAATACACGGCTAAACTGCTACATTTAGTGCCAAGGAAACCAAAAGAAAAACAAACACAACCTAAAGAAAGCAGAGATACTTTAGATGTAAATATTTTATTGTGCAATCTGCTGCTGAATGGCAATAAAAAAATCATCTGTGACACCATTTATAAAGCCCTAAACTCCACACAATGCTACAAGTTCATGCATTTTTGATTACCAGCACCCAGCAGCGTTTATTTCTTATAAAACTTTCAGCTCTGGAATAATATCTCCCATTTATAACTGACAGCTTCCTCATTATGAAGCGCAGCTAGCGCGGGCTAATTTTGAACTCGTGTTAATTCTGCACATTCCTTTAAAACCGTCCCCTTTTATAATGAAGATTACTCTTAAATTTAAATTAATGGAGAACAATATTACAACATTAGAGGAGATGCGGTGAGCCATTCTTGAAATTGCAAGCTCATATAATGATTATAATCAGAAGGTGCACCTTAATGGCCAATATTGAGTCACCAAAGCCTGCTTTAATGAATATGTGTGTGATAATGTGAGGACCGTGTTTTAAGAACGGACCACTATCACTCTGCAATCAATTTGAACTAAACGCCTGTAGCTGTATTTTTAAAATCTAATTTAATAACTTAGAATAGGAAACATTATTAATACTTTTTTTTCATCAAAATGGTTCCCTCTATGTTAAACAGCCTTCAGCATTCGCTGGTAATGAACACGGAGACGGTGCATTATTAATCCACATGTAGTGAAGAAGCTCATTTTGGCGTCGGCTCGCTTTAAAATGCAGGCGAAACCCGCAGCAGGAAATTTTAGAGAAGTGCACTGCTCCGGGCTTCACCTTTGTCATTTTTACAAAGGCCTTTCACCCATATTTAATAACAAATATCCCAGCTCTGGACGATAAAATTTGATGCTCCTTTCTTTCCAGGCTGCAAGGAGAATACCGCTACGATTCAGAGAGAATCTCCTGCTCGTGTCATTATCATAAACCTTTGCACTGCTAATGACATCTCGGTTTTGTCCCACCTCAGGGTGGTGTCCCAGCTGTTTATCTCCGTTGCCTCTGCCAGTTCATCCTACCTCAGGTGAGCGTTTCTCTCTCCTGACTCTTTTAATTAGCACAGAAATTAGTTCAGCACATTTCAGAGAGTCTAAGAGAGCCTGGGGCTTTTCACGAAAATCACAGGTGGCTCATTTACCTGGAAACCCGGTTTTCGCTGGTACTTTCTCCTCTGCTGCATCTCGGCAAAGGTAGCCGCCCCTGCTGCGTAAGTGTAGGCCATGTGCGGTAGGAAGCCCATTTGATCCATGCCCGGGTACGGCCTGAGACCCGGTATGCTGGCCTGCATGGGGGGCATGAAAGTGGCCGGGGGGAAAGCGCTCTGCGGTGGAAGTGACGTGTACAAAGGTTTGGCAGCAAACGGGTTAATGCCAAAGATGGGGCTAGTGCTTTTTTCAAGGTTCCCATTGTTGGTTGAGCCTGAGAAATCCTTCTTGAGATAGGCCAAGTTCAGCGGCTCTTCGAAGTGCTCTCGGGGAGACGGGATGCTGCTGTGGTCGATGGTGATGCTGTTGACCTTCGGCCTGCTCTTGACGGTCAGTGCGTGCTTGGGCTCCTTCATGAGTCTGGGCAGAGAGAGGTCGAGCGGCTCGGCCTGCAGGTCCTCCGACGTCAGGCTGTTTGGAGTGTAGGAGCTGCTGTGGGAGTTTTTGGAAGATGTGGACGACAGGTTCAGAGGCGACGGGGTGTTGCTGCGGGAGTGGTCCAGCTTCTCGCCGGCGGACTTGCCGTTGCTGCCGAACTGGTGGTTCTTCAAATGTCTAAGCGCGTTGTCACAGTTGTTGACGTTGTTGTGGAGCTCCGCGATGGAGGGGGACGTGATGCGGTCGGAGGGCTTAATGAGAGACACGGGCGACCTAGCTGCCAAAGAGTCTTTTGGAGGAGTTTGGTGGTTATTTGTTCCGACAACCATTTCCGTGTTGTTCCTGTGCTCTAGTGGTGGGGTCCTGGTAGTGCTATACTCGTACATCTTTCGCTGCTCAAACCATTCCTTGACAAATTCCTGAGGAAGGCCGACCGCTATGGAAATTTTGAGCAGCTCCTCCGAGTTGGGCTCCATGTTCATGGCAAAGTAAGCTTTCAGCACAGACATGTGGTCCCTGTAGGGGTTGAGGGGGCCGGTGAGTCCCTTCTCAGACAAAATGGAGGAGTGGGAGTTCTTCTCCATGAATATCCCTGGTTTGTTAGCCATCAGATTCTCACTGGGCTGCAGCACAGCTTTGATCTCCTCGTTCATTTTGCACAGGTAGCGTTCATGTTGGTGCAAAGGTATTGGCCCTGGGAAGGTTTCTTTGCAATACTGACAAGCGTACGGTGTAAACATGTTTTCGGGCACCTTCTCCTCCACACCTCCTTCGAGCATGTGGTTGGATTTCTCTCGTTTGATATTGCTAATCTGTCTCTTTGAGTCTGTCGTCAAGCTCTGGAGGCAGGCTTTGGCTTCGTTCACTTTCTCCAATGTGTAGTCGATGATGCTTTTGGTAGCGCCGTTGTGATTGACCAATGGAAGACCAACCTGAGGCCCCCCTGGCGACGTCAACCCCTGCTTCTGCTCCTCCATCTGGTTTCCCAGCTCCTTCATGTAGGCCTTGAGCTTGGAGAGTTCCTCCGGCTTGCAGTCCATTTTCTGCCTGCACACAGTGTTGTCCACGATCTGGAGGACCTTCTGCACCTCGCTAAGGTTGTTCGCCAACGGACCTGGGTAGCCGCCAAACTGCGACTCCAGGCCGGCCATGCTCAGGTGCTGCAGAGGGCTCTGCGCCGTCGAGTTGTGGTGGTTGACGCCCAGCGGACTGGTCCCTCCCATCCCTCCGTTCATAAACGGAACGGGAGCGCCGAACCCGTGGGAAGCCATCATCAGCTTGTAGTCGTTGAAGTCAAGCGGCTCTGTTTTGATGCTCATGTGGTTCCCGTGATCCGCGAGGCCCAGCGACTTGCCGTTCTCGATCTTCTGGCGCAGCTGGGTGATGGCAGTGTTGGTGGGCGAGGCGGAGGCGGAGGTGGGGGAGGAGCCCGGCTTCAGGTTGGTGCGCATGCGGCCGTTGACGGCGATCAGGCCGATGCACTTCTTGCTGCTGATGTGGGAGCTGTAGGAGCCCGAGTGGGAGAAGCGCTTCTTGCAGTTGGGACACTCGTAGGGCTTTTCACCTGAAACGACAAACAGGTACATTTAGAGGAGACTTTTCCTTCAGAACAACAGACGTTTGATCACGTCTTAAGGTTTTCTTTAGATTTTGGCAGCTTTTTATCTGGAAAATTTAATCTAGGGAAGACTAAATGTTCTCAAAGTTAGCAAAAATGCTAAAGTGCTAAACAAATAAAGTTTGGTCAATACTTTTTTTGATAAAAAGGCATTGGTGTCCTTTGTTTTTTTGCCTTAATATCCAAGAGAGTGATTTAGATTTTCTTTGGATATTTGATCCCAATACTTGACCAATGAATTAAAAAGTCAAAAAATTAACAAGTGACCTGTAGGTTTTTAAAGATTTTATTTGGACTTTGGCAGCTTTTTCACTCCGTTTCAATTAAGTATCTATGGAAGTCCATTTCTGCCATTAAAGAAAAAATAAAAACAAAACAGGAAGTCATAAATTTGAGCTTTAATTATGAGTTTTAGTTATAATTACTAGAATAAAAGTCCTATTTACAAATTCTAAAGTCCTACTTCTGACTTTTATTCTTGTAATTGTGTCTTGAAGGCTTATAATTATGACTTCCTGTTGGACTTTTATTTTTTCGTTCATGGCAGAAATCTTAACAGAGCTGCGTGCCCGAAGTTGATGCATCTTTAAAATCACACCTTATGGTTTTGCTTCAGTTTTTTTCCAATAAAAATTGGAGATATTTTGGTTTTTGAGAACATATTTAATATCCTGTCAAAAATTGCACAATAACACAAATTCTTGCTGCTACTAGAAGTTGTTTTCCCTAAATATCTTCAATAAAATGGACATTTTCTGTCAGATTTTCTTTCGGTATTTAGTCCCAATACTTAAGATGATCAAATCAGTTGGACCTAAAGTGTGTAAACTCACCGCTGTGAATCCGGAGGTGCTCCTTCAGGTGGTGTTTGTACTTGAAGGCCTTGCCGCACTCGGTGCATTTAAACTTGCGGTTTCCGGCTGCTTGGTTGAGCAGTTGGTGCTGCGAGGAAACACAGACAGACGAACCATTTTAAACACAATATTTTATTTATTTAAAGAAAAGAAGATGCACAAACATGGCGAGGGTGAGAGTTCAGCAAATATTCACAATTGGTCGGCATGACAACCGGCCAACGAGGCGTCTTGGCTTCCTGTTCCCACCTCGGCGATAGCGGAGAGAATCGCATACCTTTTAATTTCCTGGACGCTCGGCCAAAAGGAGGACTGCCTTTACAATCTGGCAGCCCAGAAAACAGAATAAATGAAAAGAGGCTTTTTTAGAGCCTTCATTAGGAGCGCCGATCTGATCTAGTTTTTCATTAATTTTGGCCTAATCAGCTCAGAAAGTATCACCTGTACGCACGCAGTAATTGGGTCGGCTAGTGGGAACTTGATTCAAAGGTAAAGCTTTATAGAACCAAACAGGATTAATTTCCGAGTGGGATGACGGCGCCCACTCTGCCCACATTCCTGGGGAGACAGATGGCAGGACACTGGGAGGACCTGGTGGGTCCAAACCTTCAGAGATCCAGCCGAGGGAAGAACGGGGTGGGGGGCGCGCGTTGTGGAGCCGCATAAACAAACAGCAACAGCTGCTTGGCCCCCCCAGAGGAGCCCTGCCCGCTAAAGTTTCGTCTGCTGCTAATAGGACACAATTGCACCGTCAGGCTGCTGGTGGGCGGAGACTGGATGTTTGCATATGTATAAGCTCTAATTAGTCATATTCTAGCTAATTGGTTAAGAGAAGGAGGAGTATTAGTGCTTGTAAACACAGAAGACGGCACGTCGCAGCGCGTGTTTACCTATCAGGACGTAATTCTTTATGTTAATCTGAATCACTCCTCCTCAGTTTTGCTGTTAATTACCAAATGTACATTTAATACACATGCGTGTTGCTTGTGTCTTGACTAATCAGCTGGTAATGAGAACGAGCAGCAGCAGAAAGAAAGGACCTAAAGAAGACATCATTGTGAAATCGTCTGGCGGATAAATAATGGTTGGGTTTTGTTCAGGCCGCTGACCGGAGCACGGCCCGGCCCATCTGCTCACACCCAGCTGGCGGGTCAGGTGAAAGCGCTCGGATCAAACAGCCTGAGCACGTCGTCCTCGCTTCAGAGGGCGCCATGACGACCGCAGCGCACCGCGGTACGCCATATGATCTGGTAGAGCAAGAGCACTGCTTCCTGCCTGGCAGACCGCGCTCAGGGGAAAATCAGCCCAGCGGACGGACTCTCTGATTGGTTTAGAGAGGGATGAGCGTGGACAGTTTAGAAATGTTTTTAACTTTCACTCAATTTTACAGAGACGGCAGGAGTTTATGCAATTTATAAAAACAAATGACTGGAATGAAGCTGAAGAAAATATATCTGAAGTAGGTGGATGGATGGATGGATGGATGGATGGATGG